TCTCCTTTTTTATTTGTCTTGGTGAATAGGGGTTATATTTTCCTCTATGTTCCAAACATAGGTAATTATGATAGAGATCCTAGTTGTCATCAATATTAAAGGAAAAAAAGGAAAGAAAATCATGTTTATTTTTCTACTGGAGCCCAAGTTATCAGTTACAGACTATTATGGACAGCAAATGACTCCTGTATTTTTGCTAGGTAATAATTTACTTCAATAAGTTATGAAATCTAATAATTTCTCTTAGGTAACCATATCACTGTAAAAAAATCTTATGTGTGAAATCAGATTTAAATGTCAACTGGAAAAAAGTCCACCAAATATATCTCTCAAAGCTAACATTAAACTGCAGGTAGGAGCACAATTAATAAAAATAAATAAATAAATAAATAAATAAACCAAACCAAAACCAAACCCAAACTAAAAAAAATATATCCAGCATAAACCCAGAGGTAATTTTTGGGATGCATCACAAGAGACTTTCAGGCAAATAAAGAACATTTTAGGAGTACTGCTGAGACTCAACAATATCAAAACTGGTAGTTTTCACGAGCTGCCTTAAAATTCCTTAGCTGTTGCTGTTTCTAGCACAAGTGATATAAAAGCACACTTGATATCAAGGCTAGTATGATTGCAGCTCCAGGGGTACAGGCAGCAGGATTCATCTGTCACCTTGCCTCCACCTGGTACAGATCTATGTGCTAGGTGATCTCAAAATATCTTTTCACATTGGATTTCTCAACACACAAACCTGGAGGAAATGGGGAGGTGAAAAAAGCTGTCCTAAATTTACTCCAGTGCTTCAGGAACCCTTTAACACTAAAAAATCAGCTTTTAATTCTGCTGAAATTGTGAATTCCTCTCTCTGGGACAGTGATTTCTAACTCCCAGGAAAACAGCCCAACCCTCAGGCTGTGGGCATTTTCTAAGAAAACTTGGTTTCTCCAGTTCTGAATGTCTGGGGACAGGGAAGGAGGGAAAAGAAATGGAAATACATTCTCCATTCACCTAAAAACAATCCAATGATCAGATGATTCATATCAGCCAAGTGTTAGAGAGCTATATAGAATATTCTAAAGATAAAAATCTCCTCTGAATATGTATATGTTGAATGATTTTTTGAGTACTTCAACCACTTCTGCAGTAACCCAAGAAGAACAGGACTGGAATTGTTCAAACAGTAGCTAATATTCAAATAACCCATCAAAACTGTATTTCCAACAGACTGGCATCATGAAAAGAATTTTGGATAAAGGGGAACAGATGAAGAGAAATAGCAAAAAGAACTCAGAGGAGCTGTCAAAGTCCCCCAGGACAGTTTTAGACAGAATTAGGACACCATTTGCAGGGAAAGTTGTTGTTATGGACACTGAAAGCTCAGCCCCAGCTCTGCATGAAGAAAGCAGTCAGAGAGGAACCTGACTGTTCAGCTCCAATCAGAATTAAATTTACATTTATTTAGTCCCATAACTTGTGGATTCTAAATTTTAAAGCAGCTGTTCAGCCTGAGACTGGACTTTAATATTGGATAGATGTCCAGGTGAAAGGGAAAAGCCCTGAGGAGCCCTCTCCCTGGGAAATCTGAACAAAACTGGGATCTGGAGGCACATCCACGATACTGATACATCCCTCAGAGATGCAGGAGCACCCCTCCAAGTTAAATCCTGGCAGGCAGCAGTGGGTGGCTGCAAGCACAGGTAGAGAGACACCATCTGGGAGGTGTTCTGTGAAAATTTGGAAAAAGCTCTTCCCCTCTGCAAAGAGGTGGTGGCACACTGCAGGTCCCAGCCTCAGCGTGGCATTTCAGGGCTTATCTCAGCATCCCTGCCTGCTGCAGCCCAGCCCTGAATCACAGCACCCACCTGGACCTCATCTCACAGCATTTCTGAGAGAGAGGGCAGGATTTGTGTCTGGAGTTACAGAATTTCTGAGAGAGAGGGCAGGATTTGTGTCTGGAGTTACAGAATTTCTGAGAGAGAGGATAGGATTTGTGTCTGGAGCTGTTGGAACTCAAAATGTCCCTCAGACATTTTTGGAGGTTCCAGGCCTTGGTCAGGAGCATTTTAGACCATGTCAGGCAGCTGCAAACAGCTGTGATTTTGGGTTTGAGTCATGGGATGGGTTACCAACTTTGGAGGTGGAGAAAGCAGTCACAAAGGGTTAGATAGTATAGTAAAAGTAGTTACAAAACAGAAGGGATTTTTTTTTAGTATTGTACAGGGGGTTTTAGCACCTGTACAGGGGGGTTTTTACTTTGTACATGGGGGTCAGAAGTTCTAAGATGGAGGAAAGTGGGCTGATCCTGTTCTTCCTCCTTCTCCTTCCTCACCTCCATGTTCTTGGTGATGTTGGCACTCACAGATTGGTTTAGAGTAGAAAAGCACTTTGTAATATCTGAGGTCCCTGGCTTTAACCTCACTTTCCCATGTCTTTGGTGAATGCTGTAGGCACTTTTTCCTCTTCCACAGTCTTCATGGCCCAAAGCCTGGCCTTATTAACCTTTGATTAAAGATTAAAAACAGCTTTAGAAGAAGGCAGATGGCTCCGAGCACACAGAGCGTGGTGTTTTGATATTCTTAATGAAAGCAAAAAAAATCTAAATTCTGTGCCAAATAAGACTGACATTTATAAAAATTCCACTGGGACATTAGGCCACAGATGCAGATTATTCCTTTTGTCACAGAAGGGCAAAAATCTGGCATAGAGTCCAAGGGGCACTTTCTTCTTAGGAACCTCCAGTTCAGCTGGGCACAGTATTCTTGGAAGTTGGACCCTGACTTCTCACCCCAGCATTTCCTAATGTCTAGCTTTAGATATTTCCTCTCAAAGCTGTTGCCTGCTATTGCCCCTGCTGCTGCCTCTTGGCACCTCCCTGTGCACAGTGTGAGGTTACTCAGCAACTTGAATTATCTAAATTTTGATAGTGCAGTTTCCAAGAGTTAGGGGACGCAGTAACTACAGTAGTCGGAGCTCTTTTCCAGTATTCAGTCACTGATTTATTATGTAGTGATAAAACAAATGTTTTGAACCATTTGCAGAGTAGGTATTGTTGGCTAAGCAATCAATTTATCAAATTACTGTGTTCCAGACTTTGGAATATACTCTGGCTTTCTGATGGAGTGGAAGGAGGAGGAGGAGGAGAGTAAATATTTCCCTGAGTAAATACAAAGAGACTGGAGAGACATATTATAAATACACATTGAAATACAGAACACTAGAAAGTAGCAACCAATTAAAGCCTTTCCATCTCTCTATTTCTTATCTCTATCTCAGTTCTTATCTTATAAAACCTTTGAATAGAAAAGACCATTCTGAAGGCAGTAAGTGGAGTCCAAGGTAGATAAGCGATTACAAAATCTCCGAGAGGCACACAGGGTCTTTAGAAGTGAGAATAAAATTTAGAAATTGATACTACATCTGAATGCCCAGCCACAAGACTCTCCACACTGCTCTGGGTGATCTAGACACAGGCAGCAAGAGTCACCTTGGTTGAGGGCTGTGCAAAATTCCATCTTCCTTCCAGAGAAGGGAGTCTCACAGGGCACAGAGCTGTACAAAGACACCTGCACCTTCAGAAGCAGCAAACTCCTTAGGCCAGACAGCCAAGAGCACTCACTCAGATTTGACAAAACGAAGTGATGGTGCAAAGCCTATTTTCAACAAAAGAAAGTACTTTAGGCCAGTACTGACTATATTAATTTCTAACAGAGGTTCACTGACTAAGGGCCAGGTAGATACAGCAAGTACATGCACAAAACTTAACTGTACCAAAACCCTCTTTTCTTTAAATCTGTCTCTAAAATTACTATGTAAACTTGGCACAATGATGAGTTGAACTACAATTATTTCCCTAAAACCAGAGCTGCGACATGCTCTACATGACTGGCTTGCATAAATATCTCTTCTTCAGGTGGTTAAATGCACCATTCAACAAGTCATCACAGGCTGCTGTAAATTATTTGTGCATATTTCAGGAAGCAGCTGTTAGGAAGCCTCACAGGTCTAGATATAAATCACATGGCCACAGACTTTCTGGGAGAGGCAAGCACAGCTCATGCCAAGATACTTCTTTTATTAAAGAAAGGAAAAGAAGTGTTAAAATAATAGTTTAGATTTGGAGCATTTTCTTTCACTGATGAGTTGGAAGTTAAGAGACCAGCTCCAGCTAAAGAAACTGACTGAAAATCATGGTGGTCATTTTATTCTTCTTTTAAACATGCAGCCTCAGGATGTGATAAAAATGTTTTATTCAGAGCTAATTTTACCTAAAACAAGATAAAGGAGAAGGTAGTGTCATGTATAAATAAAAATGTTAAAGACAGAAATTCACCTGTCTGATCCAAATCCCAATTAGACGGACTTACTTTGAATTTGAAAGCTGGATTTGGGTTAAAGCACAAAGGTTTTAAACCTCTTTCAAACTCATGCAAAGTTAGTCAGCTCAAGAAACAAGTTTTACCTGTTCTCCAAAGCCTTCTGGCTTTCCTTCTGAAAATCTAAACTTGGCCACTCTGAACAAAAAGAGATGTGTCATGGAATTGAGCCAAAAAACTTAATGCAAGTTCAGGCATTTAAATATACTAAGGCTGAAAAGCCACGCAATGCTGGTCATGAAATTCAAGCAATCTTTCACTATCTGCTTGTTCACAGCAATAAAAAAAATAGTTATGAGTTTCCCAGAATAAATAATTTAAGTATTAAGAAAACTAATGAGCCAGAATGCTGTTGAAAAAGAAGAATGTGTGTTTCAGAGAATTTGTGTATGCAAAAACTTTTAAACTTGCGTTTACAACTTTTGAATAGATTTTTAAAAAACTGAATTTTTTTATGAAGATCTAAAATCTCTACTGCCCTATTCCCTTTCTCCATGTGATATTGCCTATGTCTTCTGAGCACACCACCCAGACCTTTTCTCAGTTTAGCTTTAATGAACATTAAAATAAACCAATTCTTCTGTGTAAAGCCAAAATACAGTGTTTCAGATTGAGACTGGAACTCACCGAAACTGTTGAATTCAGCTGCATAAATCCACCTTTAATTAAGATTGCTGCATGTGCAGGTATTGCCAAGCTGTCCAAAGCATGACCTGCTGAGGAAATCAAGCAACCAAGGGTCAGAGATTCTACCTGGGAATTCTTTTGTCCATTGGGAAGACAGGAGAGAAGACAAATGGCTCAGAGAGAAAAGCATTACTCAGGCAAACTCTGGTAGGACAGTGCTGCAGGGGATTCCCCCTTGGGAAAGGTGGGAGAAGCAAGAGCTGCAGCTGTGCCCAAGCATCTCCTGTCCTGCTGTGCTCAGGCAGAACCCTTCTGTGTGTGTGTGAGAGTGAAGAAGAGAGCAGCAAGGGTTCATCTGGCATCACAGCATGGTACACATCACCTCTGCAGGCTGGCTGGGGGACAGGGAAGAGCCTGTCAAAAGCCTGGGCACTTTGTTATTCACATCCCCTTCTCCTGAGTACATCCTTACTGAAGAAAAGGCGAGTAGGTTTTTAGTCATCTTCACACTGCACGCACACACATATATAAAAATACACACACAGGCACACAGAGTGTTGCTTTGGAAGCCACAAGAACAGAGAAGCCATTCTTAGCACCACTGCAGAGCCTTCTGCAATGACACTGCTCCTCACACGGGACCTCTCAGTGCCCACTTTGCAGCACACCTTAGTGCAGTGCACCACCAAGAGAGGTACAAGCAGGAAACAAAACTGCTTCCTTGCTCCAGAATGCCTAAAACCAAAATACAGGATGGTGTCAAGTTGTTTGCCAAGGGAGGTTTTGATCAGGCATCACGAAAAACTTCTTCATGGAAAGGGTTGTCAAGCACTGGAAAAGGCTGCCCAGGGAAGGGGTGGACTCACCATTCTTGAAAATGTTAATAAAATGCTTGGATATGGCACCTGAGAACTCTGCTTAGTGGTTGACATAGTGGTGGTGCTGGGTTGATGGTTGGACTTGATGATCTTAAAAATCTTTTCCAATCTTAACGATTCTGTGATTCTCAGGACTAAAGGAAAAATAAAACCATGCAGGTGCTGAAAAAAAAAAAAAAATATGAGCAGGTGTCCTCTTTCAAAACTTCTGCTTTAATCTAAAATATGGAAACTTTTGATGGACATCAGGTTGTGTGTCCCTGAAATGAAATATGGGCCTCTAGCTTTTATGAAAGTAAAGTATTTCAAAGAAGGCATGGAGGGGAAAAGACATCTCATATAATGCCTTTCTTCAGGAAAGAATCTCTGTATCAGTTCATGACACTGCAGACTTTGATGCTGCTTTGACAAATATTTCCTCTGAGGTGAACTTTAAGTTTCTTTAGTTTAGTTTTACCATTTTATTTTTTTAACTTTTAGTTTATGTAGGAATTGCATTGAAATGATAACCTCTATTCCCTCCAAACAGACAGATTGGAGAATAAAGACCATTTATTTCTATTAAGCTGTACCACTTCTTATTAAGGTTATCCAGGCCACTAACTCATGACAAAATATCTTGTTCAATGTAATTTCAATTTTGATCTGCAAGAAAAAGCAGAAGATACACTTGAAAGAGCGGTGCAAGGTTTATTTTTAAAATTTCCTTAAAGAAAAATAAAAAAATGAAAAAAAGTTATTTGTAATTCTGAAAAACTAGTGAAAAATTAACCTGCTATTTTTCTTCTAATTTTGAAATGGCCTGCAATTTTCAAGTTGTTGTTTTAAAATTTTGTCTCAGTTCTTGCCTTACATTTTTTGTGAAAGGCAAGTTATCTCCTCATTCCACATTGCTTTGCAATCTCAAAATAGTCATCTAACATGAGAACACAGTCAGAGCTGTAACAAGCAGAGCTGCCAAGATAACAGCTAGAAATTCCATCCTTTGCTTTCACCTTAGTCTAAAATGTAAAGTACAGCATTTTAAAATGTTTCATTTTGAACTATTATTTGAAGTCTAGATTGAAAAAAAGGTAAAACGGGCTATGCCATCTGAAAAGCTTCAGTTGAGTTTCAATTCAAATTTTCTTTTTCTCTTTTAATGCATGAGCTTAGAGAAGGAATTATTTCCTCATTCTTTAACTCAGTCACTCCGTTTTCCCTTGCACAATTTTTATGGGTTGCCATCTCTGGCTCTTCCAGTTTTTTCCTTTCATTCATCTGCTGTCATTTCTTGAAGTGTAATGTAATGGCATCTTACACAGTGGCACAAGATAAGGGTTTATTTCTTTGCTCGTGCTATGTTTAACAAGGAACACTTTTCTATGCATATATTGAGCCTTTTCTGTAAAAGGACTGCAACTTCTCAAGTCTCCATTTGAGCTTTGAAATTTTCTTCAAAAAGCCTCCTAAAATCTTTTAAGTGTAATTGTACCTTCCACTATTTAAACATTTTCCAAGAATCAAAAGCACATGTTTTCAGTTTTGCTGGAATTTTCTTTTATAATATAAAACTATGGTTTTTGGTCCCTGTATTTCAGGAATTTACAGTTGTAATGAAGTTGTACCTACATGAAAAGTTGTCAGCAGTCAAGGCTGAAAGTTACTTATTTACACCTCAAACAGCAGCTGATGCATAGGAAGGAAAGATCTCTCCATTGTGGACTCAAAATGCTTTGAGCATTCTTAAAGCACTGGTGAAGAGCAGAAACAGAATGAAACAGTTCCAGTAAAAAAAATGAAATAAAAAAATTAAAAAAACCACCTTTGAGACATTTCTCCAAACTAGTCTATTAAATGTGACTTAGTGGAAGGTGTCTAAGGCAGAGGGTTGGAACTGGATGATCTTTAGGGTCCCTTGTACCTCAAACCATGCCATCATTCTACAATCTGCTCTGATTTGTCATAAGTGGTGGAAGTGGAGGTTTGTGTCTTCTTCTCTAAATTCACAAAGAAAGGCAGAAGAATACAAGCACAGCTAAGAAAAGTAGAAAAAGAAAAAGTAAAAAGTAAAAAGTAAAAAACGAAAAAGAAAAAAGGGAAAAGAAAAAAAAGGAAAAAAAGGAAAAAGGAAAAAAGAAAAAGGAAAAAGGAAAAAGGAAAAAGGAAAAAGGAAAAAGGAAAAAAGGAAAAAGTAAGTAAAAAAAGGAAAAATAAAAAAGGAAAAAGGAAAAGAAAAAAGGAAAAAGGAAAAAAGGAAAAAGGAAAAAGGAAAAAATGAAAAGGAAAAAGGAAAAAAAAGGAAAAAGGAAAAAGGAAAAAGGAAAAAGGAAAAAGGAAAAAAAGTAAAAAAGTAAAAAGTAAGTAAATAGGAAAAAGGAAAAAGGAAAAAGTAAGTATAAAAAAGTAAAAAGTGAAAAGGAAAAAGGAAAAAGGAAAAAGGAAAAAGGAAAAAGGAAAAAGGAAAAAGGAAAAAGGAAAAAGGAAAAAGTAAGTAATAAAAGAGTAAAAAGTAAAAAGTAAAAAGTAAAAGCAAACTATTCTTTCCAGCACTGTATAAGTCCTGATTCAGAATGGCATTATTTCACAATAAAAAGTGTCTGCAGGTTAATTTCTTTGCCAAAGCCCTGCCTGGCACAGGACCATGGGGAAGCATTGCAGCTCCAGCCTTGCCTCCTCCGAGCTACAATTTGTGCATTCAATTTGAGAGGCAAGAATTTGGTATGCACCAAATTCTCCAAAGAAAGCAAAAATATAAATGAAACATCTAAAGGAAGGTCTGCCTCTGTGCTCCTCAGTGCAGCATCAGTTTGTAGCAAACCAGGAGGCATTAATGAGGCAGTAACTGTTGGTAATCTGGGTTGTGATGTTTGAACTCTAAGAACCAAGTAGAAAGCCATATAATCAAGGCTGCTGAGGACAAAACTGATATCCCACACCACTTGCAGAGCAGCTATCACAGTAATATGGGCTTAAAATAAATGAACAAAATTTAGAATTCATTTTTTTTCCTGTTACAAAAGTTAGATGAAGATTGACACTGATTTTCTTAAACATGATTAAATGTTTTTAAACTAGTTTTTTTTTGATGAAAGGGCACATTTTGATGCAATTATGTTCAAACTGTCTTCTTGGCATGTAAAGCTTACCAGTTGTTTCACTTGAGGAAGGAAACAGATGTAGGGATAAAGAGTGGTTTGGTAAACCTTGAACTTATCCCTTCTGAAAAAAAATCCCAAAATAAAAATAATAAATGGAATACAACACTACTGTCAGAGTAACTAGGACAGGGAGGACAAAGGAAGTTTGAAAGCTAAAAGAAAACTTGAATATTTTCAAAATAATCCACAAAATCCTGTATTTTAGGATTTTGCCACATCCCAGTGAGTAGCACTGGCTGGCATGCCATGGATTTCCCTTTCTATTGCCTTGGGAAAGCTGTGCTCTTGGGCTGTGCTCAGTTTGGGCCAGCAAGGAACTGTGCACTATACACTGGGCTTCAGTACAAAAGCAAGAGCTAAGATTTAAGCCTGTGAGGTTTCAGCTTCTATATCAGCCACATGAAAATAAAAACACCATATATATACATATATACATATATATACATACATATATATATATATATATATATATATATAAAAACTGAAATTAATAAAGCTCTCATTTTTGAATTTCACTCTTACTCACCCCTTCTTGAATTTTTAAATGCCTTTTGAGTGACTCCTGACCTCAAGTGAATAATCACTGCTTCTCCTAAATCACAAATTTTAAGTACTATAGTCCTCAAGCCTCGTCCTTTCTCCTCTGAGAAATATTTTATTGTTGGGTTGTTTTATATGACAATTTATAACATTTATGAAATAGGAAGAACATTGAAAAAAACATCAAAACAGAAAGATATTTTAATTAAATAATACAGCTATTTCTAAAATTTATGCTAATGGCTGTCTGATTTCTTTATATTTTGCTTAAAATAATTTTATTTGGAAGAGAGAAGCATTCAGAGCTTCAAAACATAGAAGGAAAGATTAACTCACACGTTGTTATGAACCTTTATGCACATCTTGGATCTGCAGTCAGACTAGGTCCAAATAATTATCCTAAGCCAACCATGGGAGAATGAGTGGTAGGCTCAGTTATATCAAAAACATGCCAGACCTTCCTTACACTGATTTGCTTTTTTTGCAAGTAGGATTTTAAAGGCATAACCCTAAATCTGCTCTAAAATAATTTGAACAATATTAATGCAATTATAAAATAACTGGCAATCAAAATGTATTCCACAATGTTGACCAAGCATTTTTTTCATTCTAATAGACAGCTAGAGAAATTTTCTTTAACATACTCAAAGCTTTAGACAACAGCAAAATAAATTTTCACCTCAAGAATTTTAGTTAATGGCACATCAAACCTTTATATTAATGAAAGATAAAGGTAACTATTGCCAGAGAACAACCTCTGTTACTCATTGGTATAAAAAATGGTGGCCTGAAACATCTAAAAAATGAAACTATCAGCTTATCCATAAGAAACTCACCACCACAGGGACAGGAGAAATATAAAAATTCAGAACTCTTCACAATCATTATGACTAATTCTGATGAAGGATTATCTTCTGCTTACATTTGTGCAAGTCTGTGGTATGCAGATTTTCACCCCCAAAAAAACCCTAAACTGTAAATATTGCATTTACAGCTGCTCCTGTTAGATGTCTAGCTATAAATTTATTTAGGAATGGGAGGATGCTAGATCCACCCACTTCCATGGATATAAGCAATGAGACATAATGACTAACACCAGCTTAATTTGTTCTTTGAAGAGCTCATTGAACCTTTACATATCAGTTTCCCCATTTTCAAATGCATGTTTTTACAGTTATTGGCATTCAGAAAAGCCTGTTACTCTTTCAAGTGCATCATTTCTTCAAGAATCTGAGTACGCGAGATACAATCATTGGGGAAAGGATGGGTAGAAGAGAAGGAAAAGGAGGGTTATGATAGTACTTCTCCCTAAGGACTTCTGCAGTTTAAATATTTTATTATGCATTTTTTAATGTTAATCTAACTTTCAGCAATTTTATCTTAAATGAAATCAAATTAAATTTAATAAAATTTCACTAATGTATCATTTCAATTTTAAATTACACTTATTTTTGATAAAGAGGGCAAAACAGTGAAGAGGGGCACTTAGAAGCATCAATATGCAGCATCCTCTCTCCCTAGATTCACGATCATAATTTGCATGACAGGAAGGATATATTCAGAGCTACCCGAGCAGATTCTGGAAATAAAGAGTTGTTTATGTGCCTTCTGTCAACATACAACTCAAACCATTGCCACGTCCTCCTCCTTCCCATCGTGGGCTAATGGCCTCTGGGCAGCTGCCAGGGAAGAACAAAGGATATTTAATAGTAATTCCACATTGTGGGTCTCAGATTCAGTCAAAGAGAGAAACTAAGAGTTTCCAACCAAACAAAAGCCTGGGAAAGAGCTAAAAAATTATAAATAATTCTTTATCTCTCTTGTTATTCACCTTATTTATAATTAAGTTCTATCACTGTGCATCAAGCACTTTACACCAATAGTATAAGTTATTTTCACTTCAGGACCAATAAGGCTGGTCTTCACAAAGCTCTATATAAAAAAGCAATATATTTTAAATACACCAGAGTTTTACTCTCAGCAACCTTCTAATCAAAGTCTTCTCATTCCCATCCTTCCTCAACAGCAACACCACATCACTGCCCTGGTCTCTGCTGGTGGCAAGACCTGAGATGAGTGTACAAAGCTCGTGTGCCAGCCCAGCTTCTGGAGATGCTCTTGCTCAGTCTGCATAAAAACTGGCCCAGGAGGAGTAGATCACCTCTGAAAAGTCTCTTGCTTCATGAACTTCACTGTGCAATTAAAAAAATCCTCCTTTAAAGGTTGCACTGACCCTTTGATTCAAAAGTTTCCTTGCATACAAATGGAAAATTCTTCCACCTTCCTCCACCAGCTGTCCTACCCCATCCCTTCCTCTAATGAAATTTCCTCCTTTTTTATCTCTTCTCAGTTCTGTGGCAGTTGACACCATAAAAGATAGATGTAGAACCCTGCAGAACACTACACTAACCTTTCATGCTGAGAGAGGAGACCTTTAAAGGGTTTGGCTGCAGCCTGTAGACTCTAGCAATGGTGATTTGTGCTGTCACCTTTACAGATGCATAATGAATTTCAATTATCTGAACATCTATACTGGACATATCTTGTTTGGTTGTCAAAAGAGACACCAAGGACCTCCTCTGACTCCCATTTTAGAGATCCTCCATCTGAGTCATTCACAAGGCTCTGCAGAAACTATATTGAGTTACAAGGAGCAGAAATCTTGGGCATTTTTCTACTTAAATTATTTCAACAATGTCAAAGGCACACTGAAAGTTCTTTAAAATACTTCTGACACACCAAGTAGCTTCAAGGAAATCATGTCTCTGACCTCATTTAATGCATTTTATGCTACTTTCACCACCTTAGTGTCACAAACTCAGGTAATTGAAGTACTTCTGATTTCTTTCCTGTTTTACTTCATTTTGCAGCATCTCCTCAGCTGTGCAGGCTTTGGTGGCATGCAGCTGCAACACATCTCTTGAGCTGGTTAGGAGTCTCTCATGACAGAATCAGAGGCAAGGTTTGTTATTTTTACGTTACTGGTATGCAAGCACATTTCTGCATCACAGGATATTGAAGTGAATTTCCATGTCGATCCAAGCAACATCAAACCATAGTTAATATATCTTATGGAAGTAGGAAATTATTCTGTTTGAGGGGACTACAGGTCTCAGAGTGAAAGTGGTGAGAAAGTCATGCAGCATCACAACTTGCAATGCAGCTGCTCTGTCTAAGTTTCACTTTTGGGTGGAAAAAGGAGTGAATGCCAGCTGTGAAGTTCCAAGGACTGGTCTGCAGACAGGAACTGTTGAAGAGTTTACCTTCATTGCTTTTCTAATATTATGTACACACAGGAGAAGAGACAGGATTTCTCTGTAAAAAATTAGTGTGCAACACACACAGAGTTTGAGGATGGAATTTTTAGAGATTAGATCAAAGACACTGATCTATATCTTTTTTATGACAGCATTAAAATAAAATCCATTTAAGATCCCACCAGTATACATACTACCAAATTAAGTTTCATGTAGTAATCAGTATCTTCATCTGATATTAAGCATTTCAGTATCAATACTATAATTCTGCATTTGCAGTGTTTTAGTTGTGTCAAAGACACAAGCTTATCAAATATCTTTCAAGGGGAAAAAAAGCAGTTCTATAACATAACAGCCTGGGTAGGTTTTCCAGCAGTGTCTTTTCTTGTTATCTCTTCATTTGGTACAATAATTTAATACTTTCTCCCTATCTTTCCTTAATAACAAAAACATCTTTGCTATAATTACAGGTTTATTGTGTCCTTAAACAATGAAAAAAACCCTCAAAGCTGAATTAGACATTGCATAGTGATTTCCAGTCTTACCAGTTCAAAGTAAACCCAAGAAGACAGCAAATCTGACGTTTATGAAATCTGGGATGCATCAGAGAAGTGTGTGCCATTAAAAGAGACTTCTCTGCAGCACTTTATCTTGGCATTGCTCAGAAATATCACACGTGAAGCGCAAAGTTGAGCTCCATCCCTCTGCTGCCAATTCCCCCTGACTGGGATGGGGAAAAAATGGAAGTAGCAGCATCTACAAGAGTGTGCTTCTGCCACTTTTATCTCTGAATCACCACTTTCTTCCTTCGGTTCAACCACCCAATTATAGCAGAATAATTTTGTACACTTTGTGCAGTACGGAAAAGATTTTCTGCCTCTCATTTGCATGTCTTTTGGCCACTTTTTTAAGCTCATAAAGTTAGAACAGTATCATAGTTTTGAGCTTCTCAGCAGTAAGGAAAAAGAGCATAATATGGTCTCTGTTGGGAGAGCAAGGATGTAGAGGGAATAGAAGCAGCAAAATGTACAATAATTGCTTCAGGGCTTTATCTTTCTGGCTTTGCTGTGAAAAGACCTCATACAAACAAAGTGATTAGCTCATGTTACAGATCATTCCTAAAAAAAACCCCAGAACTTCTCCAGCAACAGCTCGCTTGAGATAGGGTTGCTTTTGGAGACATTTATTGTTCATGCATCACAAGTCCTCCTCAAGTAGCAAAAGCAAAAAAAGAAAGTACATGCAAGCACTTCTTGTCCTTTCACAGAAAAACTGAAGTGATGCTTTGCACTGAGCCAGCGACAGGACACCCACAGCTGCAGCAACAACACAAAGATGTGTTGCAAGCTGGCAACAGCTGTGGGAAAATCCATCTAGCAGAGGCTGAAATTTCATTCTTGCACAGCACAAGAAGGCAAAGGGAAAGCTCCAGTCGTTTGCCACTTCTAAGCCAATACAGAGGCAACTGCTCTTACCAGATGCATGTTTAAAGCAGATGCTGAAGACAAAGCTCATATCAGCATGGATAGCAGGTCACTTTTATCTTCCATTTTAAAGCATCTCGAGTCTGATTTTATGTATTCGTGATAAGAGATGCAGTACCTCTAGCTGTAGAGCAGAAAAGGCTGAAATATTTCTCATTAAAATGTCAAACAAATAGAAATTGTTCAAGTGGCATTTGGTCTGCATTTTACTGGGTCTGTGAAAGCACAGGCTGCTTGCAGGATTAATCACCATGAGAAAAATTTGGGTTTTTTTTGTTGTTGGCTGGTATATTTGTCTACCCTATTTCTACATACCAATGTAGTTACATCCCAAAATTCAAATTTGTATGTTCCTTAAGTCAAGATTTTGCTGTTCAGACTTTTTAAAGTAGGAATATATTGCTTTTTAATATAGGGCGGGGAAATGTTTTCTGCCAACTCTTTTCTAAGACTGTGCCCAGTGCATTTTCTGAAGAGATTGATCTGCTAAGAGTGTTCTCAGGTGTTGGATCAGTGTAGCCTTATGAACCTTAGGAGTACAACTTACATCCAAGGGAAGTGAACACATCACCTCCACAACCCCTGCAGTCCATTCTGTGCGGTAAAAAGCCCTGCAGAAAATAGTTATGACAGCAACTGGTTATGCTGCAAAATTTCATTTTGTCTCATTTAAATACAACTAGAGAAATTAAATACTTCCAAAGCTGGTTCATCACAGGTTTCTTCTTTATTTGGTGGCTTAGGAGCTCTGAGGCATAAAAGTACCCTCTGTGAATCCATGAGAAACAACTTTCCAGTGCCACCTCCTCAAAACAAAACAGAAGCCAGAAAGACATGGGAACACCCAGAGGAAATCCTTATTTGGAACCACTTCCTTTCAAACACTATTTCTTGTGGGCTACTGGCCCTTTTCTAGACCTTCATAACAGAGCATGAGGTGTTTGGTAAATAAATCTTGCTTACTTTGAAGCACACTTCCTTTATTGCGACTAGTACTTTGCAACCGCATTGTAATTAAATATTTTAAAGGATATGTTGCAAAATTTTAAAATGTATTTTAATACTTATAAGCATTAGCAATTACAAAAGAAATGTAAACTATTCTGCATATGCTACAATGGCGGAGAAATTATTTTGCTCACTGAAAGAGAAACTAAGAAAAAACAATTTTGCCTCTTTCCTTTTAAACTTTTTTTCTCTGCTAGAACAAGCAGTATCACAACAGAAGCATTTAATGGCATTATTAACTCAACCACCTAAAACCAGAACCTATATTAATTACTTTCATTATGCTTAATTAAACATAATCATCTAACCTAACAATTCCTTGTACACTAATTAATAAAACAGCATGTCTTCCGGATCAGAAATGCATTAATTGATTTCTTTTGAATGTAAGATATTTAGGGGACAGGATTCATAGCTTCCACCATTACTATGTTTGGAAAGAATTTTTGTAATTGCAGTGACTCTTAAGGGCAATGGACCTCATTGGTGGAATTGAAATTTCATGCAAATTTTCATAGGAGCTTTTCTGTCTCTTTGGTGATATTTGAAGAGAAAGATCTGACTCAGCAAGGTCATTTCCATGAAAACACTACAAGGAGTTGTACTCAAAGTAACCTATAATGCTACATTTTAATGTAATGGTGTTCAAGTATATAATGTCATCTCCTTAAGGAGGTAAAGAGTAAAGCATTTATTTGATAAGCCTGATCAGCTGAAACATCCCCCAGAAAAGCCATAAATTGTTTTTTCTTGCAGCAGGAAGCTCATGTTTTCCCATTAATTGCTCTGAGCTCTCATGTCTTCCTCTGCTAAGCATAAGCCAGGCATAATTTTTTCACTTTGCTCTTGAGAAACCTGATTATTGTCAACAGATACTTCACCCATGATTTCCTTTTGTGAAGGACACAGCTGAACAAAAGCAAGAAACACTTTCATCCTGATGCTGTACTGTCAGGATTATCCTCTGCTAGAGGAAACCAATGTAAAGATGACCCTCAGCCTGGGAAGTCATCCTAAAAACTAAACAATGGACGTCTCTAAGGCAGAATTATTGCCTAACCCTATTATTAAAACTATTATAATGTCTAATAACTAAAGAAGCAATAGGCCAGAGGGAGAAAGCTCCAACCACTTTGTCATTTGGTAGCTATGTAGGATTGCATCTTAAAGCATGCATTTCATTTCATATTGAATAAGTAATTTCAGTCATATTAATAAGTAATCATTGAAGAACAAAATGAAGGAAGCAGACTAATACTTCATAATCAGGACACTTCCCTGGGAAGGGAGAGCAATGTGTGTTTGGCCCAATTAATCTTTGATGTTGCTCTGCTGTTCATAACAAAATTAAATTCAAGAGCTAGGAAACACCACAGACTAACTCAGCAAAATAGTTCAGAAAGCAAAAAAATTAAAAACAAACAAACAAACAACGGCAAACTCCCTTCCTGAAGAAACTGGCACCTTGATTTCACATCCTGCAAGAGCATGCTAACCAGTGAGCTACATTTGGTGAATTAAGCAGGGGAAAGGGTGGAAAAGAGGAAGGGGAGCACATGCTTGCATTCCTAAATCTCTCAATCTACTAAAGACACAAAACAAAGTGAGACAAAACAAACTATACCTCAATATCCAGATAATATCTCTGTTTTGTCAGTCACAAGAATGAAAGAGCATCCCTGGGAGGAATTTTAGCTTTACAGGAGTTTGAAGGCCCATTCCCACAGTGAGCATTTCCCTCTGGCTCAGCAGCAGCTGGTCAGCATCCCTTGGACTGCCCCAGTACTGCAGGCACAGGTGTCCAATTCCCCACCTACATCACGCTGGAAATTGAGATCCAATTCCAGACCTCCCACTGGAAAGTACTGCCCAAACCAGCAGCTATTCACCATGGATTGGAGCAACTTTTCCACAGCTACTGTCATCCCTTGAAATTATTACTGTCCCTTGAAATTATTCAGCAGTTTTGTCAACAGGATTTGGTGTTAGGTGGCTGATTTGAGGGATGCTTTTCTGCACATAATGATTCAACAGCCTTTTGTTTCAGTACATGCACTGCACGATACTCATTTTTTTCCCTGGAAAGTTAGACAAGCTACACATTTGAAAGGATAAATTAAGTTGTTTCCTAAAAACATATTAGTAGAAAATGGTAGAGACATGGCAGATGCAGAGTGGTTGTGCTTCCCAGCTCTCAATTAATTTAACCAAATTATGACTTTCTTTTTAACTTCCTTCCTTAATAAAAGAGACTGAGAAAAGGCTGCATTTTATTCACATACAGATAATTAAAACTTTTGGTATTGGAATAATTTTCTAAAAACTCATCTGTTCCAACATCATTTGAGTTCCAACAACACATTTTAATTGAACACACTTCTGAATCGCTACATTCATATGCTACATCCTACTTGAGGAAGAAAAAAATGTTTTTCTCATGAATCTCCATTCTCCTTCTCCTTTTCTCCCTAAACCTGTTTCATTAAAAAATATTTTCCGGTCTCTCTCTGCACAACCTTTGCCTCTTTGAACAAGTCAATGGTGGGGATCATCTTCCCAAATTTCACCTAGGCTGTCCACAAGATCCTTTGAACTGTGTGCTCAACACCTGCTCCTAAACACGGTAGAAACAGGTAAAATCCAGCAGGACTTTGATTCCCTCCCTGAATTCACAGAGAGCACGCCGATGTGAGCAGCCAGGCTCACCTGCTGGGGATTCTTCTGCACAGAATTGGTTTCAGAGCAGCTGCACATGGGTCCCTTCCCTCCTCCCAGCCCTCCCACTCGCTGTTTGCTGCTTCTGACCAGCACACACCCTGAACACCCTGCTGCGTGAGCTAAAGACTTACAGAGACAGCCTGGCAATTTTCGGGCTATACCAGATCCAAATTACCCATTCTAAACTCTGATCCCTAGTCTGGATTCTAATCCCATTTTCTTAGTCTCTAATTAGCAGCATTACTTTAGTGCCTTATTAAGAACTAGTGCCGCAACCTAAATCATCATTTCAATAAATAATCTTTGAAATCCAATAACACAAACAGTGTAAAACATTTCCTAGCTGCAGACAGGTATGCCATGGCGTGCAATTTTCAATTTCATAGGCATAAACAGGCCAAGTTTCACTACCCCATTATTAAGTAAGCTATTATAGTAATTAATGAATTAAGCAATATTAAAAAAAAAAAAAGTA